TGTCATTGTTTCACTGTTTTATGTATTTGTGATGTCAAATTTCTCATCTATTTGTGATATATACTCTTATATGTAGCTCGTACCGATCTATTTTATCTAATTTTACCTGATTTTAACTATATGTCTTATTATATTTATTTTATTTTATTTATTTATTGACGTATGTATAAACACTATATTGTGTAGTAACATGGATAAATCTATCTATCTATCTATCTATCTATTTAATACGTGATAATATAATATGAAATATTTATTTGTTCAAGACGTTTCGTTGGAATTTAATTTTTCGTTCACTTTCGGATTCATTACACAGTTTGAAGATTATGTAACTAATTCGTCACAATCGTCAATAATTATCTCGAGATCAATCTTTGGAGTGGAGAAAGTGTGTTTTGCGGAGATAGCCGAAATACATATGTAATTTTCGAGGTAATTTTTTTTAGGCATCTAAACTGCTCAACACATGAAACGTAAAATCGCATTTTTTCGATCAAATTTGAATCATCATAACTTTCGATTTCATCAACCGATTCAAAATTATTTTTCAGTTTCTGAAAGTTTGTTTCATTGAATATCGAACCTATGAATATGACTATTTCATCTTTTCCGGATGAGATTCTACAGATCTTTTTTTGGGTCAAAAACATATTGCTTCATATGTTTTCTCGATCCTGTGAAAAAAATTTTTTGGAATTGTCACACGCGTTAATGAAATATGAATGTTTTATTAGGATGATGCATAATTTGATGCTCTATAATTTCTATTGGCGTTGTGGTCTTGTCAATCTGGTTCGAACGATAGTAGAAAATCTTATATACAGGGTGGTCTTCAAACAACAATTATGACATCAAGTGATAAAAAAAATCATGTTTTGACGAGCAATAAAATTTCGAAAACCGATTGAGAAGTTTTCTGGCGATCAAAGCGTGTAGAAGAGGTTCTCATCACCATGTCAAGTTGCTACAGAATCTATTGCTGATCTTGCAATCTCATGAATTTCCATACTTTTCATGTTCACTTCAATGTTGAATTCAATTAAAGGTGAGAGTGATGTGATTTGAACTGGTGTTATTGATGAAAAGTCATGGAACTGGAACATTGTGACTGTGATCGTTGATTGATATATTACGCGTAAGCGTAAGCGTAATATATCAATCAACGCTGTGATGGAGTTCAATATGAAAAATTCATGTTTTTTCTGAGTCTGGACATCACATATCCATGTGACTCACGTCTGCCATTCTTTTGAATTTCGACAAATATTCAATATGAGTCCTTTGTGAAGACGTTCACCGCAAATGAAATCACATCCTGTTACTCGTTAATCTACTGCAATTGTGATGAATTATGTCAGTTGCATGGTATGTCTCGGCAGCAACTTTCCTTATTTAGACGACATCCTGTATATTTTTTCAGTCTATCTCATTTGCCTTGGAATTATCTTCTAAAAATCTATCACAAAGTGAGAACGACGCTCTGAAAATCCGTTTTTTTAACAATTCCAGTGGTTTGATCTTGCAATAGATTCTGTATAGCAACATGACATGATGATGACAACCTCTCCTACACGCATTGATCGCCAGAAGACACATCGGTTTCTTGCTTAGAAATTTTCTTGCTCGTCATAACAAGATTTTTTTTATTACTTGATGTCATAATTGTTGTTTGAGGACCACACTGTATATAAGTATAGGTTGATCATACCACCGTTCGAACCAGATTGACAGGAACACAACGCCAATAGAAATTAGAGCAACAAATTATGCATTATCATAATAAAACATTCATATTAAAACACAAGCATGGCTCTCCGATCTCACTGTGCCAAACATAAGCATGTCAGGAGTAACCATACCTCTGAAGACATCCATTTCGCTGCTTGGTATTACTATCAGAACCTTTCTTTGGAAAATCACGTGGGATCAATTGCGGAAAGTGCATCCCAAAAACTTGGTTTTCTGTTTCGGGCCAGGAGATATTTTACTTCCAGTCAGCTGCTTATGATCTATAAGGCACAGATTCGACCTGCCCTGGAATACTGTTCCCATATTTGGACTGCAGCACCCAAACATACCCTGAAACTGTTGGATTCTGTCCAAAAAAGGGCAATTCGTCTCGTGGGTGATGCCTCGCTCGCAAACTCACTCACTTCTCTGGAACACCGTAGAAAAGTTGGCGATCTGGTTCTATTTTATAGATATCTTCATGGACGATGCTCTTCCGAAATATCAATATTAGCAGTCCCCGCGAGATTAACCCGTCGAGTTGAGGCTTCGCACCCCTTCGTGGTCACTTTGGAGACCTGCAGAACATCTCTTTCCAAAGACTCGTTCCAACGAACAGCTAGGCACTGGAACACATTGCTAAGGGAGATGTTCCCCGAGGCATATAACCTCCAGAAATTTAAGAAGAATACCAATTCCTACCTTAATTCCCTTTGTTCTCACGATGTTCTCTGAACATTACAGGATATCCCTTTTCGTGGGAACCAGAACATAAAAAAAATTCAGTAACGTATGTGACAATATAAAAAAAAAATTTACAATATCGAGAAATTATATGAAGCAATGAGTTTTTGACCCCAAAAAACAATAGAAAAATGTTTCTTTCAAACGGGAGGCGTTTGAAATTTTTGGAAAAATGCACAGCTTTGATTATCATCCTGTAGAATCTCATCTGGAAAAGATGAATTAGTCATTTCCATAGGTTCGATAGTCAATGGAACGAGCTTTCAGAAACTGAAAAATGATTTTGAATCTGTTGAGGAAATCGAAAGTTGCGATGATTAAAATTTGATCGAAAAAAGTAGATTTTACGTTTCATGTGTTTTGCAGTTTAGTAACAAAAACTTTATCATTAAATCTGTTGTACCTATCTTTTATTTATGTCCATTTTGAAACCTCAGATTCGGATTCAGTACCTACCCCGAAATACGTATGCGTATGGAATCAAATAAATTGATACAACTCCATAACTTTCCTGGTAAAAATATAATAATTTCAACTGGATTCGAAACCAGAAGGACAGTCCCGGTTTAAGGTGATTTGCCGCCTGGTGCTATGATGTACGCGCCGCCAATCAGACTAAAAAATGTTCCTAATCTTTCAGGTCTTTGGATTTTTTCCCATGACACGTATAGGTACGTTGGACGATTTCTGGGATGGTAGTTGAACGGCAAACTCGCGTCCCGGTTGCCGCGTACCATAAGACCGGCATAATCATATAATCAGTGTACCTATACCATAGAAGTTCTACGCACTACGAACAGAATGGAAAATATAACATACCAAAGAGGATGTTGTGGAATAAAATAAAAAACATAATTCTTTAGTGTTCACATAATAAATAACAAGGAAAATGAGTAGCAAGTACGTAACTAACATAAAGTAACAATACAAAAATGTGTTTTCTTGCTTCAATGCAAGCCTTTATGTATGATACTCTTCACAAGCTCTATACATTAGTTTCATTTAGTAGATCTTGTTTGAGTTGAGACAAAATTGTTAGCTCAAAAATTTCGAAAACAAATATTCATATTGGGAAAAGAAGCCATTATATTACATTATTCTCGTGTAGAACTTGGACTAATTCCATAATAGGAGTTTCTGCTTTAGTCTCTAGGAGAGAAAACTGAACAACATTCGTCAGAGACAAATCTGTCCAGATCCTCTACATACTTTTTCCGTAGTTCAGTTGCCAATTTGATCAAATTTCCATCCTTTGCTGACACTATCTTGGACAGAAAGTCAAATGATTCTGAACAGAATTTGTAGTTGGAAGCTCGACGAAAAATTTCAAATCTGCAACTCGAAATGAAACACTGTGTCCGCCATTTTCCTCTCTGGTTTGAACTTTTTGCCGTATTTTTTCTCCTTCTTCTTCTTCTTCTTCTTCTTCTTCTTCTTCTTCTTCTTCTTCTTCTTCTTCTTCTTCTCTGCACAGGTGGGCGGGTGTGTAGACCCCTGCACTCAGGCCTCTTCAGTCGAGCCCATTGTGCGCCCACTTGTCGTGTGAAAATTCAGCAGCTTCCTCAGCTGAGTCACTTTCACATCCTTTGGGTGCAGTACAATGCTCCCAAAGGCAGCTTTCCTCTGATGCACCAGCGCGGGGCATTCAGTGAGTATGTGTAATGATGTTTCATCATCCTCCAAGCACCATCTGCAGATGGGATCATCTTTGATCCCTATGAGTTCTAGGTGCCTGTTGAGGTGGTTGTGCCCAGTTAAGAGCCCACATCTTGAGATCCCTTTTATTAAGTGACAGGATCTCTCTCGTGAGCCTTTTTGAAGGTTCCTTCATATGGAGCTTTGATTATCTCATTCCTGGTGTGTCCCGCCATGTTTCAAGGAACTGCCTCTGTAGCATTTCCTTCATAAAGGACATAGCCGTACTATTGGGTACTCCCAATATCAGTTCTGGTCCAATGGGTGTCGTTCCTGAACCGATCTTGGCTAGTCGCTGTCTGCCTCCTCGTTCCCCGGGATACCAGAGTGTCCTGATGGAACCCACATGAGGCTGACTTTCCTAGTTTTTGCCATATTTTCTAAGGATTTTTTCTCCTACTTGTGCTTTTCTTGGGATGATTCACTTCTTAACATATATTTGTATAGTGATCAAATCTTTCGCGTAAACAATGAAAATATCCAGATAATGACTGATGACAAAAGATGTGCAGTTGTATTTTCATATAGCCGCCCTGAAGATTTTGCCGCCTGGTGCTGTAGCACCCAAAAGACCCCTGGTAAAGGTAAAACCGGCACTGCAGAAGGATACAACCGTGACCAATAGACGTTCGGGTAAATTCGACTCCTCACATGGCGCTCCCTCTAGACTCTAGCACAGAATACCCACTCTAGATTCTAGCACAGATTCTAATTCTAGTCAAGTAGTCAACTCAACATTCACCATTCCACTTCACATTCAGGTTCAGTCGTTCCTGCGTGCTCTCGTTTTGAAGCAGGTGGATATATTTGATCTTTGATTTTCAGTTTTCGATATGTCTAAACCTTACGTTTTCGAATCGGTACTTAATCAGCCAGACCGAGTACCCAACAAAATCTCACAATGTACTTGGAAAAAAGATGCTGATCGATCAACCACCGTGCATAGTGTTGTGGATTGGTGAGTATACTCAATAGGATATATACTCGATTATTGCCATTATAGACCAGTGCTGAAGCCTTTGAAAACGGTAAAATGTGAAGAAAAATCATAGTAGGATGAAACTCATTGAAAAAGAAAGAGAATATAACAAAGATGAGAGGGAAAATAAATTACGGGCGATCTGAGATCGGGAAGTGGGGGGGGGGGGGTGTGAGTTTTCAAGGATAAAAAACGGTTTGTCTTGATTTCCAGCAAAACTACGAGCCCTATGGAAATAAGTTGAATAGCAAAGTTGTAGGTAATAAAGAGACCTACAACTTTTGTGATCACACTTTTGTCACGCAACCTCAAAATTTTGGTGAAAAATTCTAAAAATCAGGACAAATCAGATGCTTCGCCGCTAAATGTCACTCTGCGTTTAAACAATTTGTCTATCAGAGAGCATTAAAGAAAACTTCAATAGCTTGTCAGTGGCACTTTGTTTCTCTCATATTTTTTATATTTTTTTATTATTGCATGACAATGAAACTTTCATACAATTAAACAAGTATTTATCGATGAAAAAATTATCTCTCATCATGTATTTAACCCCGAAAAATGGATTTTTTATCGGAAATAGTCGAAATATTTATTTATGTTTTTCATTTATTCATATTTATATATGTTATTATTTTTTAAAGTGGTTGAATATATGAACAAATCTGTTGAAATAATATCCATGACTGAGTTGTCAACAGTTGAAGTTGCAAAACTATCCCAAAGATGGGCGGTTGACTGTAGGTGTTTCCTTTAAAAAAATAATATACTACTTATCAACTGACCTATAATTAATCAACTCTATGACCTTTTCGTAAATTCCTAATTTCAATTTAATGCATTAAAAAAAACGACCCTTCCATGGATTTTTTCTGGCGGCGCCCATGGATATCTCCTGATGTTTTTATAGATGAAAAAACATTTCGAGCAAATATTTCATAATATTTCAGAAGTTAAAGATAACATAATATAGGTGATATAAAAAAAATCATCTTGACCTTTATATTCGCTTTATATAAACCTCTGTTTTAGATACAATAAACGATAGTAAAGTTAATGAGTGCTTATCGAATTATTGTGGGAAAACTATAGTTGCGACCAAGGATTTGGTGCACTAATAACAAATACAGTGTGTCCCAAATTCGATCCTCACCATTGGGATCTCAGTAACTATGAAAGATAGAGAAACGGTTGAATTGGCAAAGTTGTAGCAAATTTAATGTTGAATCAGAATCTATTGAGAAACCCGGGCTAGCTTCAGTCATTCTTGAGTTATTTGAGAGAAACTGAAATCTTGTATTTTTGTTTTGTTCGAATATCTCGAAAACTATTGATTTTATGAGGAAATGATTTCAACATTCTCATAGCACTTTTTGGTGTGTGTTTTTTTCAATGGTTTTGTCAGTTTTCCATCAAAATGTCAAATTTGTGAGATATCACCTACAACCTCATTTTTTCTCATGGACGCCATATTGGATTTTAACAGATTTGAAATCAGCATAAAATTTCCTTTCTAGTGATGTATCACAATCACTGTTTTATTCTATTTGGGGTATTGATTTCTAATTTTTGTTTTTATGTCAAGTAGGCTATGAATTCTGTAACTAATAAATAATTCTCGAAGTTATCTCCACGACAATTCATTATGTTGAGTTATTAGTTACTACTTCACTCCACTGACTTTCACCTTAGATTATGGAATTTGTGTTCTATGTTCTTGCATTACTTGACAGGTGGATAATACAAATACTAAACAAGATTAATTGAACTGCTCGAAATGGCCCCCATTGTTCTCGATACATTTTAATATTCGCGAGCGAACATGATTCGCTGCTTTTCTCAGATGAACTCTGTTGATGTGCTGGAATGTGTCCATCACTCTCTCGTAGATCATCAATATCTTGAATGGGCTCTTCATAAATTTTATTTTTGGCGTAGCCCCACAGGTAGAAATCGAGAGGCGTACAATCAGGCGACCTTGGAGGCCATCTAACAGGTCCATGAGTAGTAATTAATTTAGCACCAAATTGATTTTCGAGATATCGATTCTTTCACACTGGTTGACGAACCAGTGACAAAACTCGAGACGACATTCATTATCACCAGGTCTTAACCCTTGTACTGTCACTGGTTTTTGTGAACGGCATTGTTTGCCCCGAAATAATCAACTTGTATTTTCTCTTGACGTTTAACGAAAAGGCACTTGCCAGAACACATAATCGTTAGTGTTTATATAGAGAGTTCAGCGCATAGCCTACTGGACATAAAAACAAAAATTGGAAATCAGTACTCCTTATGCGATAAAACTGTGACTGTCATACATCACTAGAAAGGAAATTTCATGCTGATTTCAAATCTGTGAAAATCCAATATGACGTCCGTAAGAAAAACCGAAGTTGCAGGTGATATTTCAGAAATTTGACATTATGATGGAAAACTGATAAAACCATTCAAAAGAATATCAAAAAGTGCCACGAGAATTATGAAGTCATTTTTTCATTGAATCAATAGTTTCCGAGATATTCGAGAAAAACAAAAATACAAGATTTCATTTTTTCTCAAATAACTCAAGATTGACTGAAGCTAGCCTGGATTTCCTGATAGATTCTGATTCAACATTAAATCTTCTACAACTTTGCTAATTTAAGCGTTCCTCTATCTCTCATAGTTACTGATATCCCAATGGTGAGGATCGAATTTGGGATACACTGTATATAATATAATATTCATTCCATTTTATTAGCAATGTCCGAAGTTATAAATACCGTCTGTAAGTTAATCGAGGAGGTGGTGTATATTCATTATTATTGCATATTTTTTGGGATTTTCTTTCCCCATTTCTATTAACAAGTTCAAAATGCTTGCATGCGGTATTCGTTCAATATTAATATCAGGGAACACATCAGTCCACATTTACAACAGCAAAATAAGCTGAATATGACAAACAGGCGACTCCTACACTTCTCAACATTTTTATTTAATGTGATCTTTCTCAATAAACCTGTATATTTTCGTGAAAGATTGCATATACGTCACCATGAGCATAGTACGAAAAATAGGAATATTTTTACTATTCCAATACACCGTACAACTTTATTTCACAACTCCTTCAGTTGCGCTGTTCCTCGATTGTGGAATAGCATACCCGATCGAATAAAAAATTTGAACTTTTCTCGATTCAAAAATGAAATCCGAAGAAAATTGCTCGATGAACAGAAAGACACATTATCATGATTTATAATGAAATTCATAATAGAAGTATGAAATAGTATTTATATATACAGGGTGTCCCGAAATTAGTCTGCCAAACGTCACCGGCGGCTTCTTCGACCAAAAATAGGAAGAAAAGTTCCAATGAACATATGAGTCGGGAAATGTCTCCTAAGGGAGCTACGGCCCCCTGAAAAGGGGCTCCTGAAGATAATATTCCTTGAATATTTCCGAAACGCTAAGTGATAAAATGATGCAATTCGGTACAAGAACAAAACTTTCCATGCCCAATGCATATGAACATGAAATCATTTCAGGGTTTCATTCAGGAGTGTATAATAAAGGTTGGGACTTCATTTAATATTGCATATTTTTTAACAATTTAATCTCGAATTATGAAAATCCATACCGTTTTACGAAAAAATGTGCTCTTGTTCCTCATCGATCAGATGTATCATTTTCGAGTGAAATCGATTTAAAAATATTGATGCACTCACATCTTATGCATAACGTTGCCAATTATTAAATTATAGTGGCTATAAACAGAACAAGTAGTTTCTTTTTACCAAACAATCTCATAAAAGCGCGAAAAATAGAAAAATTACTTCAATTTTTGTGCATTTTCTTTCATTTCCACTACGCCTCATTGCAATGTTATGCATATCTGAGATGTAACAATATTTTCAAATTGCTTTTTCTCGATAATAATACATCTAATCGCCACGAAACAAGAGTCCTTTTTTTCTGTAAAGATGTGTGAAATTACATAATCCGAGATTAAATTGTCGAAAAATATGCATACAAAAAATTTTGAGCAATATTTAATGTAGTCCCACCCTGTTATTATACACTCCTGATTGAAATTTTGTAATGATTTTATTTTCACTGCATTGGGCATGGAAAGTTTAGTTCTTGTACCATATTGCATCTTTTTATCACATGGAGCTTCGGCAATACTCAAGAAATATCATCTTAAAAAAAATTGCCGACTTTATTTTATGTTTAACTAATATTTCTGTGCTGGATTAATCATGCCAAGAGGTATTCCAATTGCGAAAGAATTAAAGCAGAGAGTAGTAAATGCGCACTTGGAAGGTGCAATACAAGCCACAATTTCAAGACGGTTTGGTTTACCCAGATACAGCGTATCCAAAATAATTTCAAGTTACCATGAAAGGGGACATTTTGAGATTCTACCTAAATCGGGAAGACCGAGAAAAACAACAATTTGGACAGACAGACGTATTAAAAGAATTTCTCAGAACGATCCTTGGTTGTCTGCACCTAGAATTATTGCTGAAATGCCGCGACGTCGTTGTCGGCAAGTAATAAATAATAATGGATATTCTATTAACTATTAAAATATAATACTTCTGGCTATTGTAATTATTAAATGTGTTTAATATTCTTTCATCGTAATATCTATAATAAAATACTGTTGACACAATTTGTTGCTTTACTTATGTCGCACTGCATTTCGTCGATTTTGATAATTATAAGTATTTCTCTACCTTTATTTTGTTTAAAGTGTACCAAAATATTGTGAAATATTACTGATATTGTGGGGATCATATTTCATTAAAATTAGCCGGGGATCACAATCATATAAATAAATCTTCAGATTCAAAGAAATAACAGCACTTTGTTGCTCTACTTTTGTCCAATAGTGTATAACTAAATTGGGTGTAGCTCTGCTTATATAATTTGTTAGGCACCTAATAGTTTCTTTTCATATTAGTGGATATGCTTATGTATATTATTATTGTGTTAGAAAACTGGGACTATATATTCATTGTGAAACTCTACAGCATAGTCTACAGTATATTCGATATATATAGTACCGCCTTATCTTCGTGTTCAGGATTATGAATATTTGTTCATTATTTGATTTTTGCTGATTCAATCAATATGTCTATGTCAAGCATTCCACTTTATAGTGTAGTTTTGTTATCTCAGTATTGGCTCCACTTGTTTAATTTTTGGTAGATAAATACGTTTTTCATTATTTCTAATGGGGGACTGGAAGATCAGCCTTGCTGAAGTCCACTCATATTTGCCCAATTGATGTACGTACCTATTAGTTTATAACTATATTTGTTCACTTAATGTTTTGTCACATCTGGGTAGATAAATAAATAAATGAATAAATAAAAATATGAATATCATTTCACCAGATGGTTTGCCTCAAAATCTCAGGCACTGCGTTAAAAAATGTTCTTATGAGAGAACCTTAGTGACACTTTGTTTTGAAAACAGGTTTGGAGAAGAGAGATATAGGTATATAGAAAAAATTTCAAATTTTCACTTGTCTTTAGTTAGACGTTTTGGGAAGGAATCTGCTCTCGTTTTCAACTCAAAAAAGGAAATAGTTATTTTGCTCCAAACGGCATAAAAAGTGGGTTTTTCTATGATACTTAACAGGTAGCGAAGGTGCATCAAAGACTGGAACCTTTGGCAGGATAATACACTACAGACTGTTTTACCACTAACCAAACCGATTTTTTACACCTCGACACGTGTTTCGCTATGTTAGCATCTTCCAGGAGAAGATTAAAACTGCAGTTTCAGTTTCAATATCATTATAGTAACATTTGGCTAAAAGTTAATTTTTAATGTACCGTTTGAATTTTTGACCTGTAAGATTTTTCACTGTTCGTGGTAAGATATTATACAATTTCGTGTTCGGAGAGTTGGATGCAGAAATGTAGTCTATATTTTGAGGATCTAATGAGTTCTGAATTGCGAGTACTGTAATCATGGAGTGAGCATTTGTATTGAATTCATTTTTATTTTCATGGATTTCAAAAAGGTAAATATACAGGGTGTTAACAAATAGGTGTCACAACGGGGAACTCTAGATTCCTTTAAAAAAAAAACAGATTTTTTTCTTTTACGAAATTTTTCTCTGGGCTTCCGTTTTCAAGATACAGGGCGTCAAAACAAATAAATCTTTTCTCGAAAACTGTTCACTTCAGAGCATTGAAGCAAGAGGACCTTTTTTGTGTGAAAGATATTGGCGCCTCAGAATGTGCTTTGAAAATTACTATTTCTCTAGCGGCATGAAAGTTTGGGGGGTTAAACCGTTAGGAGGCGTTGAACTCTCCGCCACTGACATGCCCAAGGAAATTGATCAAGACCTTAGAAGTAGTCATTATTAATGATGAAGTGTGTACAAAGACTCGGCTCCGTAGCTCAAACGGTTCTTGAGATAAGAGCAAAAAACTGAATTTGCTAATTATTTTTGACGCCCTGTATATTGAAAACGGAAGCCCGGAGAAAAAATTCGTGAAGGAAAAATATTTCTCTCTTTTTATGAGGAATCTACAGTTTTCCGTTGTGACACTTATTTGTTTACAGCCTGTATAAAGTAGGAAGGGTCATTATATCTAGATTTTTGAATATAGAACGACATGTGTCTTTATAAACTGCATTAGCAATTATCCTAACTGCTTTTTTTTAAGCTTGAAAACTCTATCAGAAGATGAGGAGCTTCCTCACAAAACAATACCATGCCTAAGATGCGAATTGAAGAATGCGTAATATGCTATCAAGAAAATCTTAGAACTTACTATAAACCTCAACTGTCGAAGCAGAAATATATGCTTTGAGAGTTTGGAGCATAAGTCATCAATATGATTGTGCCAGTTCAGGTTATCATCTATTGTGATTCCTAGTAGATTTACTTTATGATCTTTTTTAATTTTACTGTTAGATGAGAAAATCAAATTCTGAGTTTTATCTCTGTTAAGTTTCAAAAGATTTTCAGTGAACCACTTATCTGCCTGGTTTCCTACATATTTCATGGATGTAATTAGGTTTTGGCAGTTTTTATCAGAGCATATAAGTGTACTATCATCTGCATAAACGACACATTTTTTTGGTAACATATGATAGAAAAAATCATTGATGTGAATGATGAAAAGGAGTGGCCCCAGAACAGAGCCTTGGGGTTCTCCAGATTCCATCTGGAAGAGAGAAAGTGCAATTCCTCCCCAGCGAGCACAAAAACATCTCAGAGATGTTAAAAGTACGAGATTTCGAGACATTGAACCTCCACTGCGATGTTCTGTTCACACGTGAATAGAACTATTATAGAACAGCCAATGTCCGCCGCAGGCGGCAATTATCGAGATGTCCTTGATATGTCACAAAACTACCTTCTCCCTAGTTCTTTTTAAAGCCTTTTCATGGACACAACAAAACATTTTCAACGCGTCTTGCGCACATTAAATCGCTTAAAAAACCATTTTCGAGGTAATTTTCTGAAGCCTTTTGTCAAAATGAACTTTTGCATTAGGATTCCATTTCCCTTGAATGAAAAAATGCATTAAAAATAGATTGAACATAAAAATATTTTCTTGATATGAAATTACCTTCTTAATCGGTTTCTGAGAAGTGCTTACTACACACAGACATATAATTGGAAATAGGTTTCCCAATTTTTGAAATGTTCTCCACAATGCATAATTTTGCAACTGCGGAGAAGCTGTGTATTGATAAATACGTACTTTTATATATTGATTACACTGAGGCACCGAACAACACATCTTGCATCTGATGGTCATTATTTCAAACTAAATAAGTCTTCTAACACAATAAACTTCACCAAATTCCTTTCTGTTCGTTAGCAGCGTGATGTAAGCGTGACACGCTGCAAACGCGAATGCCAATTGCGAACAAGAAGAACAAAATCGAGAACAAATCAGAATTCATCGTATTGTGACGTAAGCATGAGACGTTGTGGTGGGGCAAACAAAGAAAAGGGCACAAAAGAACAAAAACAATACTTTCAATATCCTTCTAAGACCTCTTTGGGAAGTGCATATTACGCCTCAAAAAAAACATCCTCATGCCTACATTTCTAAAACATCCCAAAACATCCCAGGGATACCTCTCAGTAGGCAAACAAAGAAATGCCACAGAAGAACAAAAACAATACTTTAATATCCTTCAAAGACCTCTTTGGTGTGCATATTACGTCTCAAAATAACATCTTCATGTCAACATTTTCAAAACATCCCAAAACATCTCAGGGATGTTTGTGCTCGCTGGGTCTAATGCCGTGATCACAAAGCTTTTTCAAGAGAATATCGTGAGAGACGCAGTCAAAGGCTTTGGTCAGGTCGCATCTACTACTTCTCTCACAACTCTTGTTACTGCTTGAATGTTGAATGGTCGAGCATGATTTTCGAAACCCATATTGATCATTATCGACCTCCCTGATTCTCATTGGTTTACAGGAATGCCCCAAGACCGAAAATTCTGCCAGACTCTTTAGCTGCAGTTGGCCACACCCCATTGATTAGATTGAACAGAATTCCACAATCGCTAGGACTGGAATGTGAAGTCGGTAAGTGTTTACGAAAAAGCAAACAGTCATAATTTGTTCGCATCTTTAACCCTTCGTCTGTGTGGTGGGGTAGGATATACCCCAAGGGTGGGTACTAAATATAGTTGCCAATTTCTGGTAAGTTCGTCTATTGATTCATAGAGAGCAATAGCTGTTCGTTTCATATGGTTTCATGCTATACCATATTGTAAAGAGCAGTTTATCACTGTTATTTGATATAGTGATTTCGATTGCATTTCGTCGTTATTACTGCTAGTTTCATGTATTTTGAAAAAAAAAAATCAACTAGTCTCTAATATTTTGAAGAAAAATCGATAACGTTAATAAGAAACTATTGTAATTTTCAAAATTCAGCTTAAGGAATTCCTATGATTTGATAACTAAAATTCAAAATCTCTACCTGACAACACAAAATTCATTCCAGTTGATGTACAAAACCTATTTCCAAGTATACCTCCTGGAGATACTATATAATTTCAGTTGAGGAGTTATTAGATAAAAACCATGTTTCAATTTCATACAAATTATATTCCGCGTCAAACAGGACTTAAAAGTAGCATATAGAACAAACACTTCTAAATTCGAAAAATCAAGGGTATACAAACTCAACTGTGGATCTTGTCCTAAGGTATATATTGGTCAGACAGGTCGTACGTTTAAATAGCGCATTCATGAACATAAGATGCATTTTTCGAAAAAGAAAACAAATTCAACATACGCCAACCATATATTAGAAGAAAACCATAGCTTTGATCATATAACTTCGAAATTCTACACGTAGAAAATGAAGTCATGGAACTCAATCACTTTGAATCATTAGAAATCAACAATCTAAAAAATTCTGACATTTTACTTAACGATCAATTAGACGTCATTAGTTCAACACTGTGGAATTTGTTTTCTCAGTAGTTAATAATATGTATTTGCTATCAACCCTTTCAAATTATTCCGGTACACCGTATTTTAATGTAGATATTGTGCCTAATTTCCGAAAATAAAGGTTTATCGAACCTGTCCACAAGTAACTAATCCTACCCTACAGGTTGGGAAAGTAGGATGTATAATAGTTAAGCAAGTCAAGGTTAGTTTAGTTCATTGTACCAGCATATCACCTGACGAAGCTACTGTGTTAGCGAAACATGTCGTGTATTTGAGAATTTTGTGGAAATCTTACCGTTTGTGAAGTTTTTACATTAGTCTCTAATAGACATCTAACTCAAAAGAGCAACAACGTTTTCTGCACCAATGGGATAAAGACACAAGTTTTTTAGGTAGCTTTTCGGAGTCGAGGAGGTTCATAAAACGATTGATTGTGTGATGATGAGATCAATGAGATAATGGATATCGGATATCAAGTATATCCCAAATATCCAAAATGGATGGATGTCCAACGGACATCCATCGAATAGCAGTGTGCTGACTGGGTACCGGTACAAGTAGAGTACCGTAAAACAGGGATACTTTGTGCAGGTATTTTTCATCCTAGGCGCTGTATTTATAATTGAATCGACTTGAAAAACATCGAGGGTAGCAATATAGGTGATACCTGAAGAATCTCATCATAAAATAAGTTTTTTACAATAAAGTGTTTTCGGGAAAAGCAAGGACGCGCACGAGCTTCCAAAGATACCCCGTGTGCCAAAGTAGCAGTTACGGTAACATATCAGTAATACGATTTTTTTTCAGTGGTAAAATGTGAATTTCTGAACCCGGGTGGGTCAGTGAAAGATCGCATGGCTCTCAGAATCTTGGACGATGCCGAAAAAGCTGGGGTGCTCAAACCAGGATATACCGTCATCGAACCATCTTCGGGAAACACCGGCATTGGATTAGCCATGGCTTGTGCCATCAGAGGTAAGAGCTGGGATTTATAGAAATAAATTCCTGTTCTAATGCATCCTCAAACGAATTCTTTTAGGTTACAGATGCATTATTGTTATCGCCGAGAAAATTTCGTACGAAAAGGAATACGTGATGAGGGCCCTCGGAACAGAAGTAGTTAGAACACCCGGTACTGCGAACTCCTTCTCACGTGACGGCATGTTCGGAACCGTTCACCGATTGAAGAATGAAATCCCAAACTCCGTTATTCTCGATCAAGTAATGCATACCTACTTGAATATATTAATAATTACAATAATATTCTCTGTATCTCATCAAGTTCTTACCCACTAATCAAAGTTGAAAGCTATATTGCGAGGGTGAAGTTTAATAATGTAACGTTGCAGCAATATTACATGCTGTGACATTGCTGGAACGTTACAATTACAAATTTACATTTTCAATATTGCTAAACGTATGTTTCAGTAATTGATACAACCTTGCATCAACATAGCTTCCAAATTTGCTTAGTGGGATAGTTCATCAACTTTCAGTCGCAATTATTACGTTCGGTGATTCCGCTGTTGATATAGGTATATCATAGAGTTGTAGAAGATAAGATACTATAAGTGTATAACCATCAGGAGTTGATGTATCTACATTTCCCTACTCTCAAATCTATAGTGTGTACATGATATTAATTCCTGTTATTTCTCGTTGTAGTTCTCGAATCCATCAAACCCTCTCACTCATTACGATACTACTGCCGAGGAGATCTATCATCAGTGTGATGGAAAAGTTGATATGATTGTAAGTATGTTTTCAGTCTTAGTTCATCAGTAATATTACAGGTAATTTTCCACAACATGCTTCAAAATCATAGAAATGTTAGCCATCAAGTCCACCTGTACCCCTGTCAAATTTCTTTCTGCTATAAAAATAGTTCAATGTTATATACTACGAGTGCAATGGCATTTTCGACGTTTCACCATCTGGATTGTGTGATTAATGGGTTAATCGGTATCTCAAGCACTGACTAGAGTTTACCAAATATCTCTTTTACGGCCCTGCTTTGATGGACACAAATATGGACTGGTGGAGAATCTCTTTTGTACATACTAGCTTCTAACAAATCTATAGGTACTCAGCATCACGTTGATGCTTATGATAGATAGGTAATATATGTATATAAACAGGGTGATTCACATAAGAACCGACATAGAGCAGGGGCATGTAGGTGGTCCCAAAATATGGCAATTTAACGCAACTTACCTCTATACCAAGTTGCTTCCCTAAGGAGTTATAGGCTTTGAAAGTGAAGTTATAAATTTTGAAAAAAATCAATATCTCCGTTATTCTTGAACTTAAAGCAACCAAATTTGATACAGTTTGTGGATGTATTCAGGACGTTACTTGACAGTAACTATAGAGCCTAATTGAAATTTGTGAAGGGAGTATACCGGGTGGCGCACCATTAATATTCAACAGAATTTTGTTAACCCTTGATGGATTTCGAATATCTTCGCTTTGTTGTGTGGGCAATTCAATTCTAAAACTTTTCTTAGTCTAGTAATTTCTTGAAAAACCTCATCATTTTCATCAAAAACTCGAATAACTGAAAACGCGTGCTCTATATAGGTGTGTTATTTAAAATCATCGAAAATTCAAAAGTTGGCTATGAAAATAAACGTCGAACTTGACAATGAAGCAAGTAAGTTGTTCAATTAAGTAATTTATCGATAAACAATTGTTTGTTCTGGTTGTTGTTCAAGTTTTTTGTGTTTATTTTGGTTAGTTGTTAGGTAATCCCAGTTTTTCACATTTCAGTATCTGTACTAACTTTACGTATTTTGTTACGTATCTAATAATAATTTGCCAGCCAATTTCTACTGATCACAAAATATGACCTACTTTCTTGTTGTACGTTTTTTTTTCATAGCCAACTTCTGAATTTTCGATGATTTTAAATAACACACCTAGAGCGCGCGTTTTCAGTTATTCAAGTTTTTGATGAAAATGATGAGATGTTTCAAGAAATTACTAGACTACGAAAAGTTTAAGAATTGAATTGCCCACGAAATGAAGCAAAGATTTTTGAAATCCATCAAGGGTTAACAAAATTCTGTTGAATATTAATGGTGCGCCACCCGGTAGACCCCCTTTACAAATTTCAATTAAGCTCTAGTTACTGTCAAGTAACACCCTAAATACATCACACACAAACTGTACCAAATTTGGTTGCATTTAGTTCAAGAATAACGGAGATATTGATTTTTTTCAAAATTTATAACTTCACTTTCAAAGCCTATAACTCCTTAGGGGAGCAACTTGGTATAGAGGTAAATTGCGTTAAATTGCTATATTTTGGGACCCCCTACATGCCCCTGCTCTATGTCGGTTCTTATGTGAATCACCCTGTATATCGTTATGATTGACAACCATGTACCGCACCAGCACTTCCGGAATAGCAACGGCTACCTGTTGAACCGCGTAATCTCCCGTAATCCAAAAGTCCTCGGTTTTTTTAGTCACTATTTTTTTAAACTTTATCTCTACTGGGCAGTGGCCATCCCACTTTTGATATCGGATTCTCATTGATAGAGACGTATTTAAATGACATTATCAACTAACTACGTCCAGTAAGTAGAGTCAATAGTTGTATCAATCGAAATCTAAACCAGTTGAATCGCATGTCAACTTCAATAAATAAGACACTGACGCAAATTACTACGAGCGTACGAGCTACTTCGATAAAAATCGTATTCAAAGTTGAGTTGAGAAAAGAACAAGCAATCCGAGGCTGGTGTTCCCATTCTGCCTTTCCGTTAATCACTACTCGACTCCTCTTTTTCTGTTTCTATCAACCGGCCCCGTTTCACCCAACTCAATATTCCTCGAATTATTAATTGTGTTCTTTTCTATCTTAACCTAAACATGGTGAATCATATAACTACCTATAACTATAGTCGACCATAACTGGTCTCCAACACGACCATCACATAAACAGTTTACGTTTACTCATCAGTTTCTTCCCAATAATGATAATTCAAATCTAACGGCACCGACATATATGAATATGAAGGAAAGACTGGTGAAAGTGTTCCTTTTGGATGCTATAATAGGTGAACACCTTTGTGCAGATGAGCAACTCTTGTCTCCACCGGATTTGATCTGTGAAAAATGATATCGGACGTGTGATAAGGTCAAGAAGGACGAGAACATATGATAATAGAATGCTGGGATTGTAGTGGAGTCTCAATGAAATTGTGATGATTCTCAGATCTCCAAAACCTAAAATTTTGTGAGTTCACGTATCCCGACAAATGAAACCAAGCCTCATCGCTGAAAAATGTTAGGTCCAATAGCTGGTCATCGTTGAGATTATTTTAACCATTGGCAGTACTCCAGACGACGTGCGATATCTATTGGCAGAAGTTGCTGTAGTACACAGGTCTTGTAAGGGTTAATATGCAATCTTTTCTTGAGCACTTTATGGCATGTACTTAGTGGCACACCAGATTGTAAAGATAATCTCTTCAATGACGTTTGGGGATTTTGCTCAACACGCGTCCTTAGATTTTCGACAATGTAAAGCACCCCTTTTCTTGGGTTGGCCTATACAGGGGTCTTCACAAAGTTACTGATTCACTGGGTTCGTGAATACTTAGGCAGGAGTAAGATTGGTGTATATAGACATTAATACGGCAGTTCAAAATACATAAATATCTATTCAGCAATCATCATAATATGGACAGGCAGAGTTGACATGGAAGTAAAACAGATGTGCTTACATAATATTGGTTGGTTATACATGATGACAGGATGATGTACACTCGCACTATTATACCGGGTCACTTTGAAAAGTTAATACAGTTTTATAAAAGTTCAATAATTCTCGATACACATCTATTGCAGCAACACAATATGTTCACTAGGTACAGACTTTTAAGCAATTTCTAATATCAACTACATATCACGTATAACTAGACTGTTTAGCAGAGTTACTGGTTCAAGACATGAGACTTCGTATCAAGAGTTTGATCAAGACTGACTTTTATGCCAAAACTCCCTGCTTTTATACTGAGATTTGGTCATAAATTTAATCAGAATTCATTAGATTTTCGCTTAGTTGAATTGACCTCGAATTAAAGTGCAAAAAGAGTGGCTTCGGATGTTTTCAGAAATAGTTTTTAATTTAATGGAATTTTATCATTAATCATTTTGCAAAAATCGATGTCAGTTGACCTTGGGTATTACTTAAAATTAAGTACAGAAAAAGGATTTCAATGTTCATCTGAAAAGATTTCAAACTAATTGATTTTTGTAATAATTCATCTGGCCTCTACCTATCTTTGGCCCGCCCCTCTGCTGTGGCTCAGTTACTTAGGTTATAAATTCCCTGTACACTCTTTTCTAACTTTTATTCACATCTTTTTGCTGTTCCTGTTCTTTAAGTGCAACTATCAACAATGTTACAAAGGTAAAGTACCTAATAATAAACCTATTACATATATGCATTTCTTGGGATTTGAAACAAATATTCATATTTCCAACAAGAGTTAATTCACGTAATAATATTGCTCTATCAATCTATCCTTCTAATACTTATTGAATGCATTCGAGTTCAGATACCAAAATATTTATTGACCTAATTAAAACGACCTTCTACTTCCTATAAGTGTGAAGTGTCTAGCATTAGTATTCGTTATGATATTTTTGGTCGAGTCTTCGCGTTCATTACATTCGATCCATCCCTCGTAGACGAAATTCCATATTTTAACATATGAATTTCGTTACTATATATAGATTATGATCAGTATTTCTTTCTAGCGCTATTATTACGTGAACTTCACCCATGAAACATCAAAAGCATCTTACAACATTCTCGAAATTGTTTATATAAAGTTGTGACCCAGTAAATTATAGTATCAACAAATAAAATGAATGAGATATTTGAATGATCTTTGGTAGGTACCTGCAGACCTCTCTTACGATAAATATATAGAGTCGTTCATGCAAAATTCCTATACCTGAATAATATAACTATAGGTTTCTATTATAAATTAAAATTATTGAATTTTTTTTTTCCACACTATACTACTACCTACGAAAATTTTAGACAATTTCCAATATATATTGCTTTTAATACTTATCTCTACTCTGGTGAATTATGAAATAACGATAATTACATGCTCGTATAGTCTAATGAAACCTATTTCTATAAAATTAAATCACTCACTCAGTGACGTTTAATGGTAACCTTATTCAGGTTACGTCCCATTCGATAAACCCACCGCTCGGTCGGGGTGTTTGACCACTGGGCTTCTTGGGTAGATCCGGGCTGGTTCAATGGATGGTCCTCTCGCTGTCCTGGGTTAGGTGCCGGGTATGGCACAGAACGGTTCAGGGGTGGCCTTTGAGGTATCATAGGCCCAACACCTGGGGCGATGTTTTCGTGCTCATGGGGTGGTGGTGGGGAGTTGGATCGCCCTGCTGTTGTTAAATGGCCCTTTTGAGAATCCAATCATGGTCCTCTGCCTGCCCTTGTGACCTAGTATTATATCTAGACTGCGATACTTGAGTATTCATAGTGTCCTGTGTTTTGTTGTGCTCCAGGTCAGTAAAGGAGCTGCACCGGTTCCAGAATCAAAACGTCACTTTTCCCATGTTAATCTCCATAAGAAAAGTTAAGGTTCATTCTGCAATTTTTTGGCCACTTCAAGGTCATCCGGCTCCGACGGCGAGCAAAGCGAGAGATCCGTTCCAGAGATAACGGCGCGCATTTTATTCCATTTTTCAACAACGGTTAT